AAACGGGTCAAAAGACGAAAGTATTTTTCTCCTCTCCACTGCTCTCCTTTTTTTTTTTTTGTCCCTTTAATTTCAATGGCTAAGTGTAGGATATCTATCTGTATGTGCGATCTAAATGACATAAAAGCTATATTTATATATACAGACCGTATATGTATAGTCACAGACTCACAGCTATATATCCATGCATATTTATGATGATGACATCTGAATACACAGTATTTCTCCCCTTCAGCTAGTTTCTTCCAGATGGGTGCCACGTGTCTTCAGCAGGAGCAGTTGCAGCAGCAGCGGTAGCAGCAGCGGCCGAAGGGCAACATTCAGGAAGGATGAATGTAGTCATGATGCCGTCTCTCCCGTCTATCCTGGTGATTGTGCAGTAATTGGCCAAGAATTCACCATAGCCAGCAGACAGGTGGCACTGAGAAGCAGACACGTGGAACTGAGAAGCGGCCACGTGGCACTGAGGAGCGGACACGTGGCACTGAGAAGCAGACACTTGGCACGTGCAAGAGAAAACGGTATTGACGGCCAAGAGGGCGCTGATGCGCACATAGATCAGAAGAGGATGGGCCCCCCACAAAATGAGCCAACCGCTGACACAGGCAAGTAAGTAGTGGGGTGGAGTGGGTGGGGAGGGGAGGGGAGGGGAGGGGTGGGGTGGGGTGGGGTGTTTGACGGTGCAATTATGCTGGCCCCTAACGCAACATACATCCTCTGATCATGCATGTCTACAAGCTATTTTTACGGTCTGGTACAGTCATGAATGATGGGGTGCGTTGTATTCGGGGGAGAAATACATAAGACTGCCCGAATCAGTCAGCACATTCTTCTTCCTCCTCCTCCTCTCTCTCTCTCTCTCTCTCTCTCTCTCTCTCTCTCTCTCTCTCTCTCTCTCTCTCTTTCTTTCTTTCTCTGTCTCCCTTTCTCTGTGTCTCCCTCTCTCTAACCCTCCTTTTTTTTCAATTAGTGATTACTAATTATGCTCGTTGCCACAGGCTATTTATTGCCCAGAGAAAATAGGATTGCCTTATCCAGGCTATTTATTTATTGCCCAGAGGTAATAAATATAAATAGCCTTATCTGGATAAGGCAATCCTATTATCTGGATAAGGCAATCCTTTTTTTTTTCTTTTTTTTTTTCTTCTGAAGCTGAGGTCAAAACTGCACCGGTACCCGTAAACTCCGCAACCTCCATCATTGGAAGG